CARCACGTAAACACACATCAGAAGTATGCGTAGCCTACTTAGAGAACCAACAGAGTGCTGCTCAGTCCTTCAAGTGAGGAAAGGAGAGCCAGCAACRTGGACACCCTGTATGTGCCAGTGAAGCAGCAGCCCCAGGAGCAAAGGTGCAAAGGCTGCTCACCCTGCAGGTGAAGGAAAACGAGCCAGCCAGGGGCGGGACGGGTTTCCATCACTCCTCTACCATCCGCCCCTTGTGCAGAGGGGCAACTACTCTAATAGACAAAAAATCTTGCTGTAAGTAGGTTCTCCTTTTGTATACATCAGTTTGGATTAGGTTTTTCTCACTTGAAGGTAAGAACCTAGGTCATTTGCCAAGTCTTCAAGCTCTGACCTATCTATACATGCTCGGTCACCTCCATRTATACTTAAAGTTCTAGTATTGCCATATTACCTGCAAAATTTTGTATAATACTATTGAAAGTATAAACTGGTAWAATTCTATTAGGAACTTACACTTTGTAAATATCATACAAGTATGCAAAGGGATACACACAGGTAACCGAAGCTACCAGTCAGAAATAATGACAAACAGAAATAACTAAAGTGTGATTAGTAGAAGCTTGGGTAAACAAGACATGCTGTATCTAAACAATGAAACGTGGTCATTATAAAGAATGAGGCAAACCAACATGTGCTGATGTGGCACAACTTCCAAGAAGTGAAAAGTGGGGGAAGGACGATGGCTGATGGAGCCACACAGTGAAGGGCCATGTGACGTGTGGCCCATCCAAGCTGCTCAGGCAGACCCTGGGCCTGTACCAGAAGTTCCTCAAGTCAGTGGGACTCATCCTTCCARCTATGCAGCCAAAGGCCATCCTCCTCACTCCTTTAGACTACACTCTACGCATCCTACCTGCCTGTGAGTCCTACAAAATCCCAACAGGATCCGAACCCTTCCTAATCCCACCTCTTCCTCTCCAAGCCATCATCTGGCTACCTGTGGGCAGRCAGAGCAGGAGCTGAGGGAGGATGGGGAGGACTCTGTGCCTCCTCTTCTATGCTTTTGAGATTACATAATTTTTATGTTTTGTTCATTTACAATGAGCAGATATTGCTTTATAAATGAAAAAACCCACAAATCTGGGGATAGAATAGTAAAATGAAGTTGGAGACAAGAATGTGCAAACCAAAGAAAATCACTTACTAAAAGAAATGACCTGCTTATGTAACATGTACAAAACCCTGGATTCAATTCTTAGGACCACACACCCACACACAACCTGTCCCCTGTACGTGTACGTACGTACACACACACACACACACACACACACACACACACACGGCAGCAATACTGCCTAGAATGCTATTTGCTGAGTGTGATATACAAACAAATATTTTACATCGTTTACTTACATTTTGCTTTCTAGCCACCAAAGAAAACATGTAAGAAAGGTCAGGTGGGTTTTACAAACCTGTAACAACAGTGTAAAGATCCCTGGGGGACTGTGCTTGACAGCAGGGGCATTTATGCAAAGGGACRTAGGATGGCTGGGGGTCCAGTTCCTACTGCCCATGAATTCCCACCCCATGAATTCCCACAGATGCTTTTATAGTGTTCAGCTATCTCCAGAACTATGGCTGAAGGCAATTTTGGTGGAGCTCTAAATTCACAATAACCCCCATGACTATGCCTACAGAGAACAAAGTAACCATGATAAMCCTGAAACATTTGAGTTTGAATAAGATAGAATAGAATGTTTAAYAAGTTTTAAACAAAAAAAAAAATGTGCTAAGAGTTAACACGTTGAAGCAAAGGGCAAGTCCCAGAGTACTAGGTGGAGCCCRGGTGGAATGCATCAGTCCACAGGGCAGCAAGGCCTTTGCACGTCCCCAGCAGTGCTCTTAGTGAGGAGGTCCTGAAGATCTGCTGAGTGGGGGGAAGTTCTGAGACACACCCCTGCAGTGCTTCCTCCACACAGATCATGCCATATCTACCAGCAATGCCAATCATGCGATGAAGAGCAGGAGCTAAAACCTTAGTATGCTTCATCCCATTGGCCTGCAACCCTCGTGCTTTGCTGACTCTGCCAGTGGTATACACAGTCCCTGCCTGGTGAGAGCCCACCAGTTCCAACTGGGCTGGGCCACTGGACCAGGTTGCTTGCCCCCTCCCACTCCTGTGTACCACCCGCTGCCTTATCCTGAATCTGTGGCTTAAAGGGGTGCAAGGTGAGCCCCTGTGCTTCAAGCTGCGCTCTGTAGAAAGACATTTCCTAAGTTCTAATGAACAACATCTACTCAATGAAGAACCAAGCATTCAGAAGAGGGCTTAACTCTGTCTATCATCAAGGACCTTGGCAGTATCACAAATGTCACCTGAAAGAGCACCTTAAGCAAAGGTCTGGAGCAGGAGCTGAATCAATGCATCCTTTTTTATCTTTTTCTCAGAATTTTCAATCTTAAAATGAGATGAGAATAAGCAGGGGACAGTTAAAGGTCTATTTTTAATGMCCATTACAAACAAAAAAAATATTAACAAAGTTAGAATCTTAATCACTTAGGCCATTTTTTACCATAACGGTTCTAGCTTTGGAATGCTCACTCCACATCAAAGAATTAAAGGGCTGTTTCCCAAACACACATGGAGGGAGAGGAGGTGTTTTATGGAGCYACTCACACTGGGGTTGTTTAGAGCTTCATCTTAGTTACAACTGAGGTTGAAAGTTAGCAGCTTTTTCCTTTCAGGGAAGCAGGAAGCACTAGAACCCTTCTGCWGTCCTGGTCACACCCAGACCCCCACAAGTCTGGCTGTGAGTTCTGGTGGACAGACAGGGAAGAAAGGCAGAGTGGGAGGAGAAGGTCTGAGGCTTCTGAGGCAAATGGAGTGGTATGGGACAGAGAGCACAGCCCTTCCACGCTGTCCACAGAAGCAGCTGGGCTGCTGTGGAAGCCCTCTCTCCAACTGCAGACACATGGCTTCTTTGCCCGAAGCAGAGGCACATCTTCAGTGTGCCAAGGAATTAGACACATCTGCAAGTAAGCTTCAGAGGGTGGGAGAGTGGTAAGTGTGCTGGGAAGCAAGGGAAGGGAAGGGGCCCAGAGAGCTGCCAACACGTTTGGATTGAATTCTCCAATTCTATGTGTACGTAAGAAAGTGAATTGGGGCTGGAGCTGTAGCTCAGTTGCAGAGCACTTGCCTACCATCATGTGTGAGGCACTGAGTTTGATCCCTAACGCTGCATAAAAATAAACAAAATAAAGGCATGCTGTCCATACACAACTACAAAAATAAATTTAAGAAAAGTCAATTCTCAGACACTAAAAACATGTTTGGGATGATAGGGAAAAGAATACATAGGAAAAAAACAAGAATTGGGCAAATCCTTTAATACAGAACTAGCAGAACATGGGTTTTCAGTGATGGCTTTTTTAAAAAAAATATGTATGTTTTTTAGTTGTAGATAAAMACACAGTATCTTTATTTATTTTTATGTGGTGCTGAGAATTGAACCCAGTGCCTCATGCATGTGAGCCAAGCACTTTACCACTGAGCTATAGCCCTGKTACTCAGTGATAGCTTTTTTAAAACTGAATTTTGTGACCTGTTTCCCTATCCTAGATCTGTGAGTTGAGGAATCTCTATGCTTAACAGTGAYCATCTGGAAGAAATGAGACACCCAACATTTCTAGATATATTTAACCAACTTTAAACTTAAATAACTCGCTATAAAAACTGTAAGACAGGGCTGGAGTTGTGGCTCAGAGGTAGAGCGCTCATCTGCCATGCATAAGGCACTGGGTTTGATCCTCAGCACCACATAAAAATAAAATAAAGATATTGTGTCCACCTATAACTAAAAAATAAATAATAAAAAACCGTAAGACAATAAAAAACCACCCAAGAAATTTGCAATTGTCTAAAATTAATTATCTAATACCAACAGCACAGATAATTGCCACTTTAAATAGATTTTCCAACCTTCAATAKTAATGAAACACAGAATGGCAGAGAAATGCCACAACATCAACTCATAAATGAGTATTATGCATTACCTTCACTATAACTGAAGTATAAGACTAATTCCTGCTTCAAATATGCAAAAACCAGTCTCTGGCCTAAAACTACTAAACTTAAACAGAGGGACCCTCACACACACAAATGATAGAATGCAARTGCCAAATAAGAACCCACACTAAAACCAAAGCCTAGACCCAGGCGCCCCAGAGGACAAGGGCTCACGACTTTCCCAAGCCTCCACATTCTCAACAACTCGGATCAGGGACTGCTAGGGATGACTCCAGGGCCATCTACCTGTTCCCGTACCCATGCCATCTAGCAATTCTACCAGGACAGATGGCCTCACAGCAGACCAACTGCCACCCCAGCGTCCCCGCAACTCATGCTCTAGTCAGTGAGGTGCAGGCAGCCGCGATCCAGGTAATCAAGGGCTATGTATGCCATAAGTGCAGGAGTGTGTCCYGTCCACCACCAGCTGGAAGCAGATGTAGCAGGCAGTACTGCCCCTGGCACTGAGCAGGTCAGACARTGGGTAACACACCCTCTGGACCCCTGCAGATGGGCCCGAACTCCAGGATAGGAAAGCAAAAGAGAGAATGCCACTCAGCCCTGGTGATGTCACGAGCAAAGCCACTACATCAACTCAAGTTGCCAGAGAGAAAAAAGACTTCTTTCTTGTGCAAGCCACTATTGCCACATCCTCGACAMTGGCTGCCAGCCTCAGATCCTCAGCTATACTGTAAGGTTAAAATAATTTCTTTCTCTCAGACTATCATGAGGATTAAATGTTATAAASAGTAAGAAAAAGGAGCATCCATGTGTGGAAGTCAGGCTAACTGCCAAGCTCATTCTTTAGCTAAATAAGTCATTTCCTCACATCAGCCTCCAAGAGTGGACAATTCTCAGCAARATGACAAGTTACAGAGCTCTGTGGTGACCTGAAAAGCAGGTACAGCCATAAAGGTAAAGAGGTAGCAGCCTGACTCTGCCGGCCGTGACTCACAYGTCATGGCTGAGACTACACTGGCTGCTTTCTCTTCCCAGCTCCGGATTGCAGGACTCGCATCTTTTCCAGCCATCTTCAGTTTTAATCCAACTCCACCCAGGAGATCTCCAGTCCTGACCCAGGAATGGCATAGTTCTCCTATAAAACAAAAAATCAATTTGCATTAAAAGTATAAATATATATGAATAAGTAATCAAAGTTTCATTTAGWAAATTTGTTCACTGATTTTAAAGAACAAAATACTTATCACCTAAATGTTGGCAGGTCATCGGGGATGAGACAATGAGGACAGCACAGCACCTTGGGGGCTCTACAATGATAACGGTGGCGCATAACAGGTGGGTTTTTTAGCTCCGAGGTAACAGAGGCTTACACCYGAAGCAGCAGCAAGAGTCAAGGATGTCATTTCAAACCATGCACTGACTGCAATCAGAGGCAACACAGCCTGAGACTCCTCACGACCATCTCCTCCAGGTGGATCAGTTTGGGTGCTTGGCACAGAAGGTGGGAGTGGGGAGTTGCCAGAGTGAGAAGAAGAAGTTGGGATGGCCAGATGAGGCAAAGGAGCTGGGCTTCACTSTGAGAGCAAGGGGAACAAGACAGGGACTGACACATAAGTGGTTCAAGTAATTCGATGGATCTTGAGCTGAAGAGGGCTCAGGTGTGTGCCATGTCAGCAGTRGGAGGTGGAGAGGAGACCTCTGAGTGCCGGCCTTCAGAGGAAGGAAAGGAGGAGACTACAGCAACACTGAGGGGGCAGAGTCAGCAGCACCCGAGGATGGGTGGCCATGTGGGGAAAGAGCCAAAGATGATGTCCAGATTCTGACTGCTGAATGAGGCCACRAGAGGCAGCAGGCTGGGAGGGGAGGATGGGGCTAGGACACTGACCTCAGCTTCAGACATGCTGTCAACTAGAATCTAGAAATAAAAATTATAACTTAAAAAGTGAAACAACAGATATTACTACTTCTAAGAAGCTTACAATTTGATGAGAGTGAGATCTGGAATTCCCTTTCTGGTAATCGGTGGTTTTCAGTTTRTGAAGTGCCTGGTCCCCTCTCAGACCAATTAAGTATGAGTACCTAGCGGGGAAGGCTAGGAGTAAGCAGCTTTTAAAGGTWCAGGGGTGATTCTCTGCACAGACAGGGCTAGGAGCTGGGGATTTGAAATGTCACCTCCCCACAAAGGCTTCCCCGACCACTCACTCCTCCGCACCTCACAGGGCTCGGCATTGCCTGGTGTCCACACCCCAACAAGGGCTGCCTAAAATCACTCATGTATTTATTTTCCTAAAAGYGAATGAGGTCTTTTTCAGTTCTGTATCCCAATTACCCTGAACAAGGCCAGGCTCATGGCAAGAGTTCAAATATCTATTTACTGAATTAATTAATTAATAGACCAGAAAAAAAAAAGTTAGGTTAGAGAGAAATACAGGAAAACTACCAGCATTCAGAGCAATTGAAGTCATGGAAATAACATTGTAGAGTAGGCAGTGTAGAAATCAAGACCACCAAGGAGAGAACTCAAGAAACACCAACAGGTGAGGGACAGTGGCTTGAGATGAGTCAAGAGAGAAACTCAAGGAAGAGTCGGGGGTTTGGGAAAGGCGGAAAGCTAAGAGAAGCATGCATTTTAAGAAAGACATGATTGACAGACAGGAAAAACATTGTAAAGAAGCCAAACACAGTAGATGTTCAAAAGCAGACATATTTTAGTTTAGCTACACCAGGAAGCCAAAGACTTACACAAAATTCATTTCAGCTGAGCAGCATCTATGAATCTTGTATCCAAAGTAGACTGGCAAGGGCTGGGGTACAGCATTTGACTAGTACTCATGAGGCCCTGTGTTTGATTCCCCAACACTGGAGAAAACACACACACACACACACACACACACACACACACACACAACCAAAAATCAAAGTAGGCCTGGAGCATTTCACGACATAGCATATTATATCAGAGAGAGTTCTTGAAAGACTGAGTCCAAACTACATGTAGTGTAACTAACAATCCAGGCTATCAAATGGGCATTTATGCTAACTTAGAAGAGCCAAAAGAATTAGTAAGGAAATTACATAAACATCACCATTATCCCTGGGTCAACTCCAAGCACCCAATTCCTGTACTGGTATAAAATATGCATTGAAATAATTCTTCCTTACGAGAGGATCATGAAACCTTGCTAAGATAATTTATAGCCTGGACACACCCTTTTCAGGCATATATTGATTGAATTCTTGCTTTAGAAGATCATTTTAAAACGTTCTTTAAATCTCAGCACTACTRTGGTAAGCCTTGTCTTACAGATCTGCTTCATAGCTATGGATCATTCCAAATGTGAAGGCCACCATTCATGTCCAATCAATCCAGAGTTATCTTATGATCCATAATATATCTATATTGATATATGGGCCAGAGGACACCCCCCAAGAGATGGAAGGGCCCTGAAGAAGCAATGTCTACTTTACATGACAACTTCAGTATCATCAAATGTACACTACAAAAACAAAGCTGTTTGACAATCTCTGAAAACTCCCAAAGTACCTCTCAATATCACAATGGAACCATGGATTCAAAAGAAAATCCAGTGGTGACCCTGAAATGACCATAAAAAGGGTCACTTCATGACAAACACTTGTCACTCACTAAATATTATAGTAATGGGTGTCCATGCCCTTAAGGTGTACCATGCAACTGAGGAACTAAAAAAACAAARACAAAAACAAAACAACAACAACAATAACAACAAAAACCCAAAGCATACATATGTAACATCAAGTATGTGTTTACCTGKATATCCAGGTGATCCTATAACATGGAAAACAAAGAAATGGTAAAGAGGGAACAACTAAAAGAAATTTTAGCATGTAAAATAGTAGTGACTACAGAAGGAAGGTCAGCCAGGAAGGTTCCAGGGAGGACATGGGCTCAGCCTTCAAGCCTGGTTAATTTCATATGAATGGAGAGGCAAGGAAAGAAGTATCAGTCACAGGGATGGTGAGGGGAAATGTACGATCAGGATACATGTGACACAACCAAGAGAAATTCAGAGGGTCAAAAGACTCTGGGTAACTATGTTTTTGAGCAATGTGTGAAGGTGAACAGTGTTGTTAAAAGAATGATAACCTCCTAGGGCTTAGATCTAAATAGATCTAAGGACAGATCTATATGGAGAAGGAAGACAGATAAAAGATAGATAGTATAGATCTAAATGGAGAAATGARACAGGCCAAAGAGCCCCACAAGCAACAGACTCTTATCAGTGTCCTGTGCAGACCTGTGTCCTCAGCCAACAAATTGTCTTAAAGTTAACCTGTGTAGGCTATGTCTGTTCCCCATTGAGCACACTTATTTTCTGGCTTCAAAAAATGACTATAACATTTATGTAAACAGCCAGTGTTGGCTGGGGATGTGGCACAGTGGTAGAGCATTGACTGGCAYGTGTGAGGCCCTGGGTGCTAACCCTAGCAAAACACACAAAGAGCCAGCGTGGTGTGTCCAATAAAATAACCTTTTTAAAAATACCTCTACCCATATTACAATTTTGACTATAACAACTTGGGAAGAAATTAATATGATTTGGAGTGAATTTTTCAGCAGTTAAGTGATTCTTTCCTTCCTTCCTGTTTTGGATTGGCCAGTAGTGCAATGAAGCTAATGGACCATGGGAAATAAACAAGCCCATGCCCCAGATTTTTCAACAGAGAAAAAAATGAGCTCTTCAGCAGATGAGTGTATTTCATAAATTTGTAATGGTAAAATCTCTGGATTATCCTGAGCTTTATTTTAAATTTATATAGTTTAAGAACTAAATAGATTTTTTTTTAAAAGTAACAAATAAGTAAGTCACTGGGAAATGCAAAAAAGAGAAGTTGCRATTTAAGAGGCCYACATGTCAAGTTTTCAAAAATACTCCCAATCTGAGCAACTGATTTTACAAATCAGAAAACAAGCTACTTAATTTTTAGAATGATACCCTACAACTTTGTTCAGGAATTTATCTGCACAGCTAAAAAATGTGAATTGCTAGAGCTTTACAAGTTTATTTTAATTAAAATTACCTTTGAGAATTTGSAAATACAAAAATTAAAACTGGAAATTATTTCTGAAAATTAATACAAAATAAAAGAGTGACTATTCAGAGTCTACTCATTTTGTATAACATGCAATATTTAAGCACATCTTATGCTAACTATGTCAGAGAGCATATGGGGCTGAACTATTTTAAATCTCCTGTTTAATATGGCAGAACATGAGAGTGGAGTACTGCAGAACWGGACTATGAAATACATTTCTCAGTGGAAATTCCTGGCATGAAAGAATCTGAACTAATCAAGAAATGTCTTTTCTTCTTATAAGCATAGGTTTTCCTAACTGGTAAGACTAGTGATGATAACATTTACCAGAGATTAGTATGGGGTAGACATCAATCTAAACAATTTACAGGCATTATCTCATTTAGTTGTCATACTACYCAACAAGATAGGAAATGTCATTCTCACTTTACAGGTTTAGTTCTCTTCTGTATATGAGAACATCAAGGCAAAGAGTTTGGTGGAACAGGATTCAAAATTAGGGGCTCTAGCTCTAGAATGCATGCTCTCAGCCACYATGTTTATAAAAGCAGTTCCTGAAAACCTTAGTAAAAGATGCCATATATTTACAAGAGTTTTTTTTTTTTTTAACTTATGTGACACATCACCAACATAATCTAAAGTAATGATTCATTTAAATACAACAGTACTAAGACAAGGAAAACAAAACCCTAATACATTTCAACAGGCCACATGTATTTCCTTATTTAAGCTAGATGAAAATAGTACTTAATGCAACTATTAAGTTGGGCTTTAAAAACAATAAGAACTGTTAAACAAGAGCTAMAATAGCATACACAATAAACAAAATAGCAAGTCAGTTGCTATTCAAATTCAGAAAAAGAAGTTAGTATAGGAACTTACTTTCCCCCTTCTTATCTTTCATTGTTCTGCAATAAGAAGGAATAACTGGTTTTCAATTTGATAAGCATTCTATTTTTCTTTATTGCGTTTTCTTATGATGTTTTCAAATAACTTAAGACCAAACAATTTTGGGTCAAASGTTGGTTTGTAAGTGTGAACAAATTTGATTCAGAGAGTACATCAAAACATTGCAAATTAGAGGCTGARAGTCAAAAGTGGGATTCACTCCAACAAGGTCTGAAAGATAATTACTGATGCTTCACGGAAAAGGAAAACAATGCAAGGAGGGGAAAAGCTGTATGAAAGAGAAATCAGGTCTTTTCTGATTAGATAGTAAAAGAACTGGGAATAGGCAAAAAGAGAACTTCACTGAAGACAGTTCTTCAGACTCCTAGTTCAAGGTGAGTCTGAATAGGCCCTGGAATAGAGATGGAATCCAAAAGGCCAAAATRAGCTGTGAAGGGAAGGATACACAATTCTCAAGTACCACCTGCAAGAAAAATAGTAGGTAGGTACACAGTGGCGTGGAGGAGAACGGGGTCATTCCCAGGCATATGTCACAGAGAAGGTGCACAGGAACTCAAGAGAACAGGGAGAGGCCTAGGTTTGCAGAGCAGCCTTCTCTGGGTCCAGAGGGAGGCAGACAAAGCAAGGACCGACAGAGGACGCYTTGGAGCTAGGTGGGGACTAGGTGAGCACCTAGGGCAGGTCCACCGAGGGCAGGCTCAGCAGTGCACCGCCCTACCGGCGGCCAAGGCCCCGTCCCACCTGGCGATCCCTCCCCACCTGAAGGTCCCCTCGTCACTGGCGGACCCCACGACTTCTCCCCACCTGGCGATCCCCTCCCCACGGATGGGCCCCACAGCTCCGGTCCCACCTGGCGCTCCTCTCCCCACTGCGGGCCCCCAGGCGCMGTCCCACCTGGCCGTCCTCTCCCTCCTAGCGGTCCCCTCCCCACTGGCGGGCCCACGACTTCTCCATRCCTGGCCACCCCCTCCCCGCGGGCAGACCGCGGCCCCCAGCCCACCTGTGCTCCGCTCCCCACTTGCCTGGCCTCACCCGACGCGACAGCTCAGTGCGCACCGACTGCGTCGCACCCGAGAATATTGCCGGAAGTCGCCCGCCGTCACCGCCTCTACGGGAAGCCCCGCCCCCGGCCGCGCTGATTGGCCGTCGCGGCTCCGGTGGGTGTGGCTCAGAGCTGGTGGCCAGCGGCGCGCGTGCGCAGTGAGCGCCGCCTCGCCCGCTCGGGCGGGGGCTCCAGAAAAGGTGCCCTTTGACCCGGCCCTAGAGGCGGGGGCGGGTCCGCGCAGCCGGGTTTGGCGGCGCGGGGACACAGGCTCGGCCGCTGACTTGAGCACGGGGGCTGGCCGGCCGCCAGCGGCCAGCGAACTGCCGAGCCTCAGCCGTCGCTGGGCGTACGTGGGCGCGTGGGCGTGTGGGCGTGTGAGCGCGGCCCTCCCGGGGCGGCTGGCCTGGCGGAGCCCGCAGGGCGGGGAGAGGAGCCGGCTGCTCGGGATGGCTTTGTGCGGGTGCCAGCGCCGTGCAAAACACCCCAAAGTGTCTCGTGTGTAGTCAGCAAATATGCACGTTCCATTTTAGTGTCCTCCCCTTCAGAATGAGTTTTTGTTTGTGGAACGCCTCACAGGAAGGTAAGTATTCATCTTTGAAAATGATTCTGTAAGTCACTTCTAATACTGATTTTTGGCTACTTTACAAGTCATGTAAAACCCATCATGGGCCGAAGTGGGCAGTATTGCTTACACCGCCTTCCCCTTCTTCCTTTCCTTCACACAGTGCTCATCGACTGTATTTTTTCTTGTTTGTAGTGGAAGTGTATTTGCAAGTAAACCTCTATAGTTGGGACTATTGGATCAAGGWTAACTGCTTGTCGAGTTGATTAGATATTGGCAAGCCAAGATTCTGCTACTACAATGGGGCCATAAAACACAGGTAGTCCTTAGCTTGCCGCGGCGTTTTATCCCCATAAACCCATATAAGTTCAGAATATCGTGACTCAGAAATGCATTTAATACACTCAACCCACCAAATGTCGTGCCTCAGCCCAGCCCACCTTAAACATGCTCAGAACATCTACAACAGCTGACAGTCAGGCACAAATCTATCACAAATCTTACTTTAAAAGTGTTAAATATCTCATGTGACTTATCAAATAGTGTACTGGAAGTGAGGAACAGAAGCATGGCTGTACTTTCACATCATACTAAAGTCAAATGTCATGTAAGTGCCATCTTGTAAGTTGGGGACCATCTGTATATATGTTAATCTAATTTGCTAGCATCCACACAATTCCTTATGAAGGAAATCTGTTGGCTGTGTTGAGGAGCCAAAATAATTTCAGAAACTCACAAAATAACAATAGTTTATAAAATAACACCAGAAGTACMAGAAAGCCACGATTTAACAACAGAACCCACAAAGCACAATAGCCTGCAAAGTAATGGCAGGAGCAAAGCAATAGTGAGAGTCCACAGAGCAAGAGTAGTCACCTACAAAGTAACCACAGGAACTCAGAGGTGGTTCAGGCAGGTTCAGATGGACTCACATCCAGCGAGTCTTTTGCTACAGTACTTGGGTGCCCTTGTAAAGATTAATATGTTTGGTGACCCCTGGACTGTCACCAAAGGATGGAGAGGAAAGCACTCATAGAGGAAAGAAAAAGGCTAGACTTGTGGTGCCATTGGGGTGTTGGAGAAGTGGCCCAGGGACATGATGAGCAGAAAAGAGATGCCCACATACTACATATTTGGGGCATTTGACTCATTTAACACATTTACATATTTGGGAAAAATGTTTTTTTTTTTTTCTTTAAGGCAGTCTACTCTTGACAGTATCCAAGGAGTTGGAGATATTTGAACTAGTGGTTGCTGCCACAGTGAGGTCTCATGGCAGTGAGCAGGTAGTTGCTGGGTACAAGCACCTAGTGGTTCATGCCTCCCTGAACTCAGCATGCTGGCCTTCCCTGTGCTGCACACATGCTGGCCTTCCCTTTGCACCCTTGCCCTTGGGACTCTCTGGACTTCATGCCCTACAGGCTCACTCATCCTGCACTTCCCCTTTGGAACACAGAGCGTAGTATATCTGGTGGGGTCTTCGCGCAATGCGTGAAGACCACTTTATTCTCTGCAGCAATAATACTGCAATAGTAAGTGAGTCACCGGATTTAATGTTTAATTCCCAGGTGTGGCCATCCCCTGCAAAAAAAAAAATAAATAAATAAAATAAAATAAAGGAAGGAAAGGAAAAAGAACCAAATCACCACCTGTGCCACTCCAAAGGAAGAATCCTTGATCTTTGGGATCTCCACCCTCTGCAACATGGTGGCAATACTAGGTGAGAAAGCAGGCAGTGAGCACTGTGAGTGCACACATGTGCAGGGGGCGATGCAGTGACAGCTGCTCCTGGAAGGGCAGCAAGTAGTACAGTCTGTGGGCTCAGACACAGTGGGCAGCCAGGATGAGGTCAAAGACAGGAGAAGGTTAGGTTCAGCATGCCAATTGCTTATGTCTTTCATCTCTTGGTTAGAATAGGATTTCAGGGCTGTACACCCAGGTGCCTAGCAATTGTCACACATGGAATGTGTGCGGTTGGAACAGGAAGGCCCATGTGAAGACCCCATGGCCACCCAACTGCAGCTCATCCCCACTCTGATGCCTAGACCTGCGTATGACTCCACTTTCAGCTCCCTGTCCCGTGCACAAGGAGCAACAGGTGAAACTAGCGTCTGCATTCCAGCGGATGCCTCTTGGGCCCATAACCTTCCTAAACCTGTYTCCCACCTCTGGGAGGCACATGGAGCAGCCAGGGGTGGGTCCAGGTGGGACCAGGCTTTGTGCTCCAGGTCTGCTGGTCTGTCCTTCCTGCAAAACACCTATTGACCAGCTATGTCAAGTGCCCCCTCTGCTCCCACCCCCCTGGGGTGTATTGTCCTTATTGCTCACTAGACCATCATGGCATCTTGTGATTTCTTTCAGTTATTTAAATCTCAGCTCAGCCCCCCTTTGCTTWAAAAAAAATCCCAGTTCCCCATAAAAACTAAAAGCTCTGTGAAGGAAGAAGAAAGTTTTTCAGGAGCCATGAAAGCCTGTCTCAACTATAGGAAAGGTAGGGAGAGACATGCAGCAGACAGGCTGCTAATCCCAGATGGAAATGCTGGATCCAGATAGCTCAAGTCCTCCTGACATGCTGGGATCAAGTTCAGACTTTGAAGTCACATCAGATATGGCATCAATGTAGTTCATCAAAATTATATTATTTCCAGTGTGACATGCTTATCCTGCTTTAATATTGCTTTAGGTGAGATCCAAGCAGTGAAATAAATGAGCAGTAGATTGTTAGGACCAAAAGGGACCTTGGTCTGCCTAAGCCTTGTGGCAGACAAAGCCTGCACATTCACAGTATCAGACAGTGAGCACGCGGCCAGCAGGGCCCCACCCTGAGCCAGGTCCTGACTCCCTACCTGGCTTTCTCCCCCCAAAGGAGGATGGTATCTAACTCAGGTACCATGGACCCTGGAATCCTAGAGCCCTCTCCCAGGTCCTCAGGTCTCAGGGACAGGGTGCTGAAAGTGGGACTTGTGGTGTAGACTGGGTTGGCCCTGAGACTGCTTCTGGCTCGCTGGCCTCTTACCTGTCATGATTGTCCACTGCTTCATGGGGCTGACTGACCTCATTCTACTGGGAAGAGCATGAAGTTCTAGGCTCTGGAGTCAAATGAGCAAACTTTGAAGGGAACTTGGGGATGTAGATGTGGGGGGAAGCAGGTAGCAGAAGGGCTCTGGCAGGAGACCAACCACCCACAGGAAGAGGCCATAAGTTGCTGACCACATGAACAGAGGGTCAGCTTATACATTCAGATGAAGCTTCAGCTCCATCTAAGGCTATGGTAGCATCCCCGAAAGGGAGATTTAAGCCAGGAGCCTAATCCCATCAGTTAGACCTGGGAGCCATGTGCTGCAGGGAGCAAGGAGAGAAAGTCCACACATAATCTGGTCACCCATTGGTGGATGAGTGGCAGGGATGGGCCAGAGGTGAATTGGGGTGTCGAGAGCTAAGGCCTGAGGCACTGTGGAGTTCTGGAAAGGCAGTCTTCTACCAWGAACAGTGTGGATGGTCTCTCCGTGCCTCTGGCCTGCATGGTTTTTGATAAGAAACACACTGGCAACCTAYTGAGCTCCCACCGATAGCCTCTCTCTTATGGCCATTCTCATTGTTTTCAGATTCTTTGTTTTGGCTTTCAGCAGTTTGGTTATGATATGTCTAGGTGTGAATTTCTGAGTTTATCCCACTGAAGGAGACAATGTCGAGGTGTTGAGATTCTTAGATATGTAGATTATTGTTTTCCTTCACATTTTAGAAGTTTAGAGCACTGTTTCTTCACTCCTTCTGACCTTTCCTCTCTCCCCTCCCTCTTGGACTCACTGTGCATCTGTTGGTACAACTTCACTCTCTTTTTGCATTTAGGTGTGACACTTTCAGAAATTCTACTTAAGAGGGATGGAGTTGTGGCTCAGTGGTAGAGCGCTTGCCTGGTGTGAGGCCCTGGGTTTGATCCTCAGCACTGTATATAATAAATAAAAATAAATTTAAAAAAAGATCCATTTACAACTAAAAAATATTTTTAGAAAAAGAAATTCTACTTAAGAGGAAAGATGCCCTTCCTCCTGGGATGTGGCTATAGATCTGGCACTCCACCACCTGTCCTGGGCCTGAGCTCACCTTAAGGATGGAGACCCCCTGTCAGAGATCTGGGGGCCTGATGAGTGTCTGGACCCATCATGCTCTGGGCCTGCCAGCGTCCAGACTACATTTTCTGAATTTCTTTTGTGTGAAAGAGAAATAAACATATATCTGGATGGGCTATTATTATTTTAGATTTTTTAAGACATATATCATGTAACCAATGGAATTATCTAGTGTAAATTTGCCATGAAACATAAGATACCACCAGTTATGAGGAGTCAGAGTTCTTTACAAGGACTTTAATAATGGTAAAAATTGTAGGCACAGTCTCGTGCAGACCCATTTTCCAGGACACTGCTTCCCGTGGGTCTCCAAGACACTGAGTAGGTATTTATACAGTGTGGA